TCTTATCCAGGTTTTGGCCCCGTTGGATCTAGAAAAGCATTGGCAACGGTGGATGATGGCTCAGAAGATCAAGGTACCGAATGATTTTACATTAATCTAAACCATTGTGAAGAATGATTTGTTCCAATCTTTTACGCCAAGTGATCTTCAAAATATTATCATGAATTTTACCAATATACTGGCATTGATATGTATGCATTTGACACATGCCTTTGCCATTTTATGTGCTTTTCGTTAAATTTCCATTTCCAAGTGTAAGTCCTACAAAATTTCAACCTCTTAATTTTTGTTTGGAGATTATTTACAAGCTCTTTAGTCTTTTGTTGTATCGTTCTTTTGTCTGTTTTGTTGAAACTATATATATATATAATATATTTTATCTAATATATAGTGTTCCAACTCTTAAAGGTGGTGAAATTTCCAGAACAGAAGGTGTTGCAGATGGAAGTTCAAAGCCTTTGAGGTAAGTAATTAATTACCTTTGAGTTAATTCATTCCGAACAGGACAAAAACGTTCAGTTTTCAGCTACATAAAGCACTTTCTACCTAATACATTTTCTCCCAAAAGTACATGTCATAGTAACCCGAAATTTTTAAAAACTTATATAATCATATCTATTTTCTTAGTGGGTAGTATGTAATATGTATACTATTTCAGGTCAGGAGCTTTGACAGTATTCGGGAAAGATATGAAAGCTCTCTTAGTCGATAAGATTTATTTGGTGAATGTTCTTGGTAAAATACTCTTCCTCATCAGTTATCTGCGAGTGTGTGTTGCGAGTGTGTGTTTGCTGTTAGATTTCATCTTTCGAATTTTATTTTACTTAATGTTTATTCTTTTTTGTTTGGTTTTTGCAGGTTACATTGCATATAATTTTGTCATAGGTGCCTATTCCTATTGGGGACCTAAGGCGGGTTACAATATATATCACATGGTAAGCTCTTTATGCCACTTAAAAATGGTGTTTTCATTAATGGAAGATGTATTTAACACTTCCCGCAATCTATTTTTAATATAATCTTTTATTCTGTTAAAAAAAAAAATTAACATTAGCATTCCTTGTGTACAGAGCAATGCTGATTATATGTTTGGAGGTGTCACAGCAGCCTGTGGAATATTAGGCTCACTAGCTGGTGGTTTTATTCTCGACCGAATGACTTCAACAATATCTAATGCTTTTAAGGTGGACTCTGTATTCGGCATTTGTTGCATTATAAATTCATGATTTTGTTCAAAACTAATTACATAATTTCACCCTTCTCATTTCGGATTCTTTACTGAGATTGCTAAAAGAATTGACTGCTGTTTTCAGTAAGTTATATAATTTTATACAATTAGTTTTCATCTGCTAATTGCTTTTGCTATTTTTCTGATCCTACAGCTTCTATCGTTGGCCACATTTTCTGGAGCTGTATTTTGCTTTGCTGCATTTTGCTTTAAGAGCCTATATGCGTTTTTGGCTCTTTTTGCAATCGGAGAGCTGCTCGTATTTGCTACCCAGGTATTTGTTCTTTTTCCCCAGGCATCGAATTTGTACACATTTAGGACTGTGTTAATTTAACTGCAGAAATGGCATGTTTTTTTAAAGAATTTTCTTAAGCTCGAACTGTGCCGTAATTTGCTTGTTAGAAAAATAATCAAAAATATTCTAAATTCGACTGGATATTGAATTACATCTTGACATTGCAGGCCCCGGTTAATTTTGTGTGCCTGCACTGTGTTAAGCCGAGTCTCAGACCATTATCTATGGCGATGTCGACTGTTTCAATTCACATATTCGGTGATGTGCCCTCATCTCCCCTTGTTGGGCTTCTCCAGGTTGCCTTAATTACTCATCAAATAATTAATAATCCAGAAGAAATCTGTAGTATTTTGTTTCATGTGGAGCTAAATGCTTGTCGTAAAGCTTAATAAAATCTCAAATATCCTGCTTAGATTCCTAGCTAATTACTACATTCAATTGTTTTTGAGAAATTTTTTGTGAATATGGCATGTGCCCATGGAGCTATAAACGGACCGAAAGGTCCCCAACAAAAGCTTGTTTGAGCTCGAAAAAGGATTAGGCTCATTTGTTAATCAAACGAACACGAGCTTGTTTGCTAACTTATCAAACATTCGTTAACATCATTTGAATACTTAATTTGTTTATGATTTATACTTTATATGTATAATAATTTTTATAGAGAATTACACTAGAATTATTTGAATGCGAGATTATTTCCAACCTTGCATTCAATGAAAAAACACTTGCCTAAATTGGGAGAAAAAATAAGGACCATGTGGTTTCGGTTTTTGTGGGTATACTAAAGTTCACATTTTTTGCAGGATCGAATAAACAATTGGAGGGCCACTGCGTTAATTTTAACTTCGATTCTATTTGTGGCGGCCACAATATGGTTTATTGGTAAATCTTCTGTTTTTCATTTTCTATCTCAACTCTATATCAAAAGTTAGTGTCCAACAGTAGGTAGATTATAACTGTACTTGCTGTACTGAAAAAATTAATTTATATGTACATCCAAGATATATCTTACAAAACAAATAAATACACATGCAAAATTACCAAAAACTCCCCCAAGAGGGTAAATCATAATTTTGTAAGAAAACTCAGTTTCTTCTGTAGTTAGACTGACATCAAGGGTAGTTTCGTAATTTGAATCTCATGTATTTTTGCAGGGGTTTTTCTTCATAGCGTGGATAGATATAACGAAGATAGCGAGCATCAAGTTACTTTGGTCGACAAATCCAATGCGACTCCATTGCTGGCCGAGAAGACTACAGAAACTGTGTAGTTTTTCTTGCAAATCATTGGAATCGGGCTTTCTTCTAACACGCGTTTTATGTAAATTCCTTGGCTCGATTTTTCGTCAATCTGTAAATAGTGGTTGTTCTTTTTTATCAAGGGAAAAAACATGTTCTTCCTTTAGAGTTTTGGCTGCCTAATGAAGGGTTGCTTTGAATTGAAGTTTATATTTTGTAGTAGAGTGAACTATGCTCTACTTACATTTTTCTTGGAGTCTTTGATGTTTTATTTATTTAAGTTTTTTTCTTTTTCTTGATTTTTTTATTGCACTATGGGTTTTTCGTATGATTCTATGGGCTCTCTTTAAACAACTTACTTCTCTTTAGGTGGATAGAATTTTATTCTACAAAATGTGCAGTGAATTGTGATATTTATATGTTGAAGTGATTTATTCAATGTACAATGTATGCTTTATAGGTATGTGCTTGAGACTCGTTAAATTATGGTTAATATACATTGTAATTACATATATATAATATATGGTTGATATTATGAATAAAGATTAGGTTTTCATTTCTCCTATTTTTCTTTCTTTCTTTCTTAGACGTATTTGCGTTCTCTTTTGCAGTCGTATGAGATGATCTTAGACATGCCCAAAGGCAGAGCCGGTTCACGACCCGGCTTGGCCTGCTAGGTTGGCGGGCCGGTTCTGAGCCCGACAATACCCAAGGGTTGGTTCAAATGAATAGGCTCGACCCGACGGTTCATTCAACCGCCAATTTTAAAAATAAATAAACAAATGAATAAAAAAACAATTGTGTCACAGCATGTTTACTTATTCATAATTATCAATAATTATTGTATTACTTTTTATCACATCATGATTAATCATTATGGCTCCCCCTTTTATCACATCATGATTAATCATTATGGCTTCTTTATGGAGCAATTCATAACTTTATGTACTAACATATGTCTCATGCATTTATTGCAGGACACGTGTCATTACATCATTTATGAATAACTGTGGATGACTCCATAAACTAAACCATCCGATGAATCCATAACAAAACCGATAGTATATAAAACCACTGTATATTACTAATTCTCTCTACATTGTTTCATCAGTGAAACAATTATTTCTGTCAAATGAAATCATATTATCTAATCTCATCCTTACTATTTTAATTAAAATCTGAAAAAAAATAAAACATCGTGCTTCCATCCAAAACCAGAAACTATAAACTACAGACCGCCCACAGTTTTTATGTCCTCTTTCTTTCAATTCAACACTTATTAATTAAATCATATGCATAAAAACCAGTTTCATTTTCATTAACACCTCACTTCTGAAAAAAATCATCTGATCAAAACTATCTTACTTGTCTTTTTTTAACCTCTCAAAATGGCTCCAACAGCAGCCATGCTCATGTTAACCCGCTGTACAAGCCCGATGCCGCGTGCAACTCACTCTCCGTCGCCAAAGCCCAATTTCGTTTTCTTGATGGGTTCTTCACTAGCAAAGTTTGTCTATCATGGGCTTCCAGCGGTTGGGCCTGGCGACGAAAAGCCCACGGATGATCTATCCTCTTCGCCCACGAGGAGTCTAGCAATGCCGGTGGTTAAATGATCAAATGAAGTTCTTACAACGACCACAGGAGCATTTTTTTTTTTTTTCTTTTTTTTTTTTTCTTCTTTTAGTGGTGCTCTGTTTTGTGAAGCTGTATATATCCACCGTGCGTAAACTTTGATGTACCTTTAATAAGAGTAATGCTCCACTACCCACGGTGGGCTCATTTTAATATGTCCACCACTTATGTGGCATGCACACATTGGTGATGTTAATATCTTCAAAAAAATACATTACCAATGTGTGCATGACACATAAGCGATGGACATATTAACATGTATCCACCGTGGGTAGGTGAGCATTATTGTAATTATGAGTGCTTATATAAAAATAGTGTTATTTTCCCTATGTTAGTTTGTAAGTCGACAGAGACTTCAAATTTTGGAGTACGATTAATGGGTGAGTTTCATAAAGTACAACTAACTCACAACGATAATGAAAAAAAAAAAAAACTCTTCATTCTGATAAAAAATATAATAAAAATGGGCATTCGGCATAGAACCCAGTTGAAATATGCTAAATTGATACATCTTAGTTATTTGATGAACCTTTTTTTTTCCCCCCTTTTTTGGTGATGAAAAACTTTGACAGATAAAAGTCTTAAACGGCCGTATTCAGACAAGAGAAAGTTCGCCAGCAGGAATCGATCTTTTTACAAGTTTAGCCCACGCCTCATTTGTTTCCGTTATAATCTTTAGAGCAAAATCCTGTATAAAAACAAAGATTACATTGGAAATCTCCCTCTGGGAGCTAATAAGAGAATTTCTCACTATGTTCAGCTAAAGTACTATTTTTTCATTTTTCTCGGAATAAGTTGAAAACAATACCTTATTTGCCGGCTTATTGCCAAGACCGAACTTGTTAGCCGGTTTACCATCAGGAATCTTGTAATCTCTAAACCAGTCCCTTATTGCACTCAGAGTTCCCTATAACAAGTTGCACACAAATATGTTGAAGGTTTCCTCTGAATTCAACATCAACATCAACATACCCAGTATATATTCTTCTGAATTAAATAAAAAAAAAAAAAAATCTGCAAAATAAAGCTATGCAAAAAATATATAGACTCATGATAAGATATAATAGTTAACAAGGAAAATTTTCATTCTATCATGATTTCATGAACTAAAATTGCAGTATTTATAAGGTAGTACATTTTACCGGGAAATGCTTATCGACATCATCCACGTCATTAACAAGGGAAGCTCTAGGGTCGTCCAGTGAGATGGCAACAATTTTCCAGTCAAGCTCCCCCTCGTCGATCATAGCCAAAGCAGCCAAGGGCTTCACCCTCAACACTTGCCCGATTTTAGCTCGACTCTCCCCAATCTCAACCACATCAACTATGAAAAAAAAAAGTACTAACTATTGGTTTACCTTAGTTATGGCTTTTGTTATCTTTATTTGATAAGAAAATACAAAGTAAACTAATAAAAATGGATTATCGTGTACCTGGATCGTTGTCCCCAAACGCTCCCTCAACTTCGGCATTTGCTAATGACGGGTCTTCCCATGTTTGTGGAAGCAGTCCATAGTTCCAATTAATGTTGTAGCTACAAAAGAGAAACAAATACAATTTTCCATTGACAGGGAGATATAATATTGACAGGAAATTTCGATTATCAATTTGAACAACTACTTGTGGTAAACACTGCATTCAATCTTCTACATTATTTATGCACATGAATGAAATATAACTAAGTACAGTATAATGCAAAGTCCACTTTTGCGAGGTGATCTGATACCAGTACTATTAATCCTATTACATAAAAGGATTTTCATTATCCACGAAATGCTCGACAACCAAGATTTGGAATCCCAGGATCCAAAAATCAAACAAACTCAGGCTCCAAATATCTCACAAATGACTGAAAAAAGAACGCAAGCTTACAAATTGCGACTTTAATTATTTACTATACCGGTGTGTTTACATGAAACCAATAGATAGTTGTGCATAAATAACACAAAATATAAACTAATTAACTATTTGGGAATTATATGAAGGACACTAGAAAAGCCAAAAAAGCTAGAAGAAAAAATAAATAGTTACGGGTAGTATCGAAGTTTGCCCTTCTTCGTATCTTGCTTAATAGGAGTAAAAACCTCATCTGTAGCAACCTCCATTTTAGCACTTGATTCTTTTGGAATCTCGACAATGAAATTGAATACACCATCTCCCAAATGCAATGGTATATCGTGCCATGGAGAAATCTGCACGCCGAATAGTGACAGTACTTGGCATTAAGCTCGCATTCATTGTACAAATACAAACCGATTACCTCATCTACATGTCAATGTGCTACCTTTAAATTATATTGTTTTCAGCTTCGCCTTTTAAATAGTATAAATTGAACTGATTATTGAATATTCATGCTACTACCAAATGATTCCTTCTCAGCTCTTCACATAACTGATAAGCAATTAGAGACAAGCAACTAAAATAAATTCAACTAAAAATTGACAAAAGAAATATACAAAGAATGCAGATATCAAATAAATTCAATTATCTGAACTAAATACCAAAATCTCAAAATTGCCAATTAAAACCTCAATAACAACAACAAAGTAGGATTTTCCCAACCTTTTTTCCAGAATCGTCGAGGAAGAATACGCGGTAGTCTAGGGTTTCGGGGAGGCCCTCTTCCTGAATCCGAATTTGGGGATTGTATATCGCGCTACAACTGAACAGCCGCCGTTTTTGCCCCGACGACCTGCTGTTGCTTTTGAAGATGAAACTGAGGCTTTGAGGTTTTCCTCTCAGCGGAGCTCTAGAGAGCATAGCGCCGGAGATGGCGTGGCCCGCCGACGCAATCACTCTCGTGGCCGCCATTTTTGTCGATGAGCGAGAAAGCTCTGTGGGCCGTATTTGGTAATGCTAATTGCTGGGTGGTTTCTGTGGTGACTGTTACAGTGTCTCAATCATTTTATATCTTGTTTTATTATTATTATTATTATTGATGAAATTTTAAGAGATTTGGTTATACCATTAAGCCAATTTACTTATTAAAAAAATGCTTCGGAGCAATAAATAGTTTTAAAAAAATGCAATATAAATTTTTAAACTTATTGAACTTTCATATATATCATTTAGTGTAAATTATAATTAGTTAGTTTTAGTAATAACTATTATATAATAGAATAATTAAAGGCTTGACTACATTTTGATTAACCATTATATTAAAAAAGTCATTAGTTAAAATTCAGTTACTGGTTTTTAAAAAATTATTGAATTGTAACAAA